GTCACACCCAGGTTTGGACGAACAGAAAACATTGATTCAGACAATGGGACCCACTTCACTGCATACATCATTACAGGACTAACCCAGGCATTAGAAACAAAATGGGAATATCATATTCTTTGGCATCTGTCCTCATCAGGGTAAGTAGAAAGAATGAGTCAAACTTTAAAAAATCACCTAATCAAGTAAATCCTGGAAACTCGGTTACCATGAACAAAATGTCTTCCCATTGCCTTACTCAAAATCCAGATTGCCCCTTGAAAGGATCTTGGCCTGTCCCCTTATGAAACGCTCTATGGGTTGCCTTACCTAAATTCCACTACTGGCCTTTCTACATTTGAAACAAAAAATCAGTTTCTCAAAAACTTTGTATTTGGTTTGTCTTCCACCCTTTCCTCCCTCAGGATTCAAGGCTTCCTAGTGTAAACATCACCCCTCAAATTCCCAGTCCACCAACATCAACCCGGAGATCATGTCCTTGTCAAAATCTGGAAAGAGGGAAAGCTGGAGCCCACCTGAGAAGAAGCTTACCGGGTGCTCCTAACAACTGACACAGCAGGTCTGAACTGCTGAAAAGGGGTGGATCCATTGTACCCAAGTCAGAAAGTCGCTGCCCTCTCTGAAGCCATGGACCATCGTCCCAGGGCCAACTCCCACCGGAGTAACATTAAAGAGAAAAGCCTAATCTCTTTTTCCTCTTCTCTTTCCCTTAGCTACCTCTCATCTTATTATTAATGTAACTAGGTCAAGCTCACCCCAAACCCAAAGCATTACTTTCAATGCTTGTCTTGCCATGCCCTGCGGGGATCTCCAAAGTCAGAGACAGCTAGCCTCCTAGAAAAGCTCTGCCCATCCACCCCTTCCAAACCCAGCACCACCTATAACCGTTGCAATCAACAACCATGAGCCTTCCAGGGGTTATGATATAGTTGGGAGATGTTATCTGGACTACCAAATATCAGGGCTGGACCTCCTCAGAAGGCTGCACCACCCTAAAACCCTACCTCCACTTCACCAAAGGAACCACCCCCTCAAATTGCCAAATCCACCAGTGCAACCCAGTACTTCTATTCTTATCCCCACCTCCACTGACCCTAACCCCACTTGTCTTTATGGCCTAGGAGTGGATGTCACTGGAAAAGACCACATAGGCTCCTTTAAAATATATTTTGTTGGCTGGGCGCAGTGGCTCACACCTATAATCCCAGCACTTTGGGAGGCCGAGGCAGGTGGATCACAAGGTCAAGAGATTGAGACCATCCTGGCCACCATGGTGAAACCCCATCTCTATTAAAAACAAAAATTAGCTGGGCATGGTGGCACATGCCTGTAGTCCCAGCTACTTGGGAGGCTGAGGCAGGAGAATTGCTTGAACCTGGGAGGCCGAGGTTACAGTGAGCCGAGATCGTGCCACTGCACTCCAGCCTGGCGACAGAGACTCTGCCTCAAACAAATAACAAGAAAACAAAAACAAAAAAAAGTTTTAACCCTCCTCCATCTCCTACCAACTCGCCTCCCCCACGCCCACCAAATCAAACCATTTTTTGTTTCTTACCTAATAATAAGAAAATAGCCATAGTAGAAGTCAAGGACCTAAAGCAAACTTAGCCATAGAAACCAGGTATCAAGATGTTAATGCCTGGCCAGAATGGATTAAATATTCTGTTCACACCCTAAATAAAAGTAATTGGTCCACTTGTGCAACAGGCAGGCCAGAAACCCAAATTGTTCCCCTCCCACTTGGATGGACCTCCAACCAACAGGGCATGAGCTGTATGGTAGGTCTCTTCCAAAACCCCACAGCCTGGGGCAATAAGGCATGCTAAACTCTCTCACTGCTATTCTTGAAGTTAAAGGCCCTGTAGGTCAGCTCCGGTTAACAATGTGCATTTTACCTCATGTCTCTCACAACGGGGAAAATTTGGCATTCCTTGGAAGCCTAATGGGATGCAGTGAGTCCAAGCCTTTTCAGGAGCTAACCAATCAGTCTGCCCTTGTTCATCCCCGGGTGGATGTATGGTGGTATTGTGGTGGGCCACTACTGGGTACTCTGCCAAGTAACTGGAGGGACACTCACGCTCTAATCCCATTGGCCATCCCTTTTGCCCTGGTGTTTCACCAACCAAACAAAAAGAACAATTGAAGAGCAGAAGTGCCCCTTAAGGGTCCTTTGACCCTCACATTTATATAGATGCCATTGGAGTTCCATGAGGGCTACCAAATGAGTTTAAAGCCCAAAATCAAATAGCTGCAGTATTTGAATCTATATTGTTCTCATGGGTAACTGCAAACAAAAATGTAGACTGGATAAATTACATTAACTATAATCAACAATGGTTTGTTAATTATACTAGGGATGCCATTAAAGGAATAGCTGAACAATTAGGCCCTACCAGCCAAATGGCCTGGGAAATTGAATAGCCCTGGACATGATATTAGCTGAGAAAGTTGGGGTCTGTATCATGATTGGAGTCTAATGCTGTACTTTTATCTGCAAAAATATAGCCCCCAGTGGAACAATTACAAAAGCCCTATAAAAGGCCTTACCACCCTAGCAAACAAATTGGCCAAAAATTCTGGAGTAAATGACCCCTTCTCTAACCTCATGGAAAAATGGTTTGGAAAATGGAAGGGACTCATAACCTCAATCTTTACCCCCCTTGCAATTGTTATAGGTATACTTATTCTTGTAGGTTGCTGCATTATACCCTGTTTGTGGATTAGTGCAAAGACTCATAGAAAACGCTCTCCCAAAACCCCTCTCGCTTCTCCGCCACCCTACTCAGATAAGCTCCTATCCTAAGTGAACAAGAGGAACAATAAAGTCAAGATATGTTAAGGAGACTTGAAGAGGAAGAACTACCAAGAGGGGGAAATTTGCCAATCAATCAATTTCTCTTCAAACTTCCTCGTTCCTTTTAGCAACTAATGTCCTTTCACATTGCTAGAAAGGATAAATTATTGTTCCCTAAACAAGCCTTTCCATCTTTGCTGTGCCTAAACGTGCCCAAACATGCCTTAATGGACAATCCCTTCCTCCCCTCCTTTCTTTACAAGTTATGTGTTTAAAGGTTTAAGTTTACCCTATTTGGAAAAGTTTTACCACTCCTACCCCTTCTCCCCTGTCTACCCTATTTGGAAAAATTTCAAGTTTTAGCCAATCGGGCTAGCTTAAATTGTGTGGTCCGACTTCAGCCAATGGGGAAAGGACACAGAAACAGAAGTTGCATTAGGGATAAAAATCCTTCTTTCCTTTGTTCAGTGTGCTCTTGTGATTGTGACTGGTGCAGGCAGCACCCTTCTGCAGAAGTAAATTTGCCTTGCTGAGAAGTCTTTTGAGTGCCCGTTTTCTTTGCGACTCCAAGCTCTTATTTCCAACACTGGGATTACAGACATGTGCCACCATGCCCAGCTAATTTTTGTATTTTTAGTAGAGATGGGGTTTCTCCATGTTGGCCAGGCTGGTTTTGAACTCCTGACCTCAGGTGATCTGCCTGCCTCGGCCTCCCAAACTGCTAGGATTACAGGTATGAGCCACTATGCCTGGCCATAATTCATTTTAAAAATTTTATTTATTACTTATAGAGATGGGAGTTTGCTATGTTGCCCAGGCTGGCCCTGAACTCCTGGCTTCAAGCAATCCTCCCGCCTCAACCTCCATAGTATCTAGAGTATAGGTTTGCACCATAGCACCAGGCAACTGAGTGCAATTCAGTCCCTCCATATATACTACCAAATGTTCGTCTCAAATATATACTGCCTCCATATATACTGCCCAGTTGGTCTCAAACTCCGGTCCTCAAGTGATTCACTTGCCTTGGCCTCCCAAAGTGTTGGGATTACAGGCATGAGCCACCCCGCCCGGACTCAAATAGTAAATCTTGTTCTTACCAAAGCAGTAACTGAGGAGTGAGCAGGACCCTTCTAGCCACAGGTGATGCTTCCGACAGATCACAAATGAATTTAGAATTCTAGTTTAACAATATCACTCTTTACTCAAGTGGAACGGACTATATATTTTTTCCACCTCTGTAAGCAAAGTTCATTTTAGCAGTTTGTAGAACTGGTGTCCAGTTTTCCACCTAGCCATGCCTATTTATATCTTTTCAATCAAGAAAGATTCTCCATCTCTAGTAACAAAGCATCATCTTCCTAAAGTTCACTTAACTATATGAACTGTGAGGATCTAAATTCTACAGTATTTCCCTTTGTAGAGTTTATTAAATGCTAATGCTAGGCACATACACATCTTTGAAAACTGCCTTAAACATTTTCCTTCCTGGGACTCCCTGTAAATGAATTTCATTCTTACTGTCCCAATCCCAATCCTAGGAATTAACTGAAAAATAAACTACAAACGTGAGCAGAACAGCCTTCACAATGAATCCTAGATAAAACAGTTCAATTATGTGAAAGGCGTATTCCGGCCGGGCGCGGTGGCTCAAGCCTGTAATCCCAGCACTTTGGGAGGCTGAGACGGGTGGATCACGAGGTCAGGAAATCGAGACCATCCTGGCTAACACGGTGAAACCCCGTCTCTACTAAAAAGTATAAAAAAAAAAACTAGCCGGGCGAGGTGGCGGGCGCCTGTAGTCCCAGCTACTCGGGAGGCTGAGGCAGGAGAATGGCGTAAACCCAGGAGGCGGAGCTTGCAGTGAGCTGAGATCGCGCCACTGCACTCCAGCCTGGGCGACAGAGCAAGACTCCGTCTCAAAAAAAAAAAAAAGGCGTATTCCTTCCCACACCCATGCCAGACTGTGATTTTCCCATCCTAGCAACTGTGACATTACAGAAACATCTCTTCCTGACACTGTTCAACTGTTTAAATAACCAAGGAGGAGAAAAAAAAAAGATTTACAATTAAATAGTATTTAGGGTCCCAACTGTCAGAGTCCAAAAATCCAAAGGTCATCTTTGCAAAATTAGGAACATGCATTTTTCTCCAAAGAGTATCTTTGGCTTTAATCTGATTCTCAAAAGGATCCTATAATCCAAGAAAGTTTAAAAACCATTGGAACAGTAATATATTCCTGAGCTATTTGACTGCCATCGATCCATTTGTTATAAAACTGAAGGGAAAACACACATTTGAATCACTTCTTCTAAAGCTTTAGTAAATGATCTGTTCAAATAAGCAATTACATAAAAGAATAAAACCAAATTTCCAACCTAAAATTCTGACAGGAGAGTCAACATGATGGTTAAGGCCTATTTCAAATTCAAACTTCAATCTATGAAAGAGGAGACAGAGAAGGGTCTCCGCTTTCAAATTAAATATTATAAAAACAATTTTAAAAAAGTATCAATAGTCCTAAAATGCAGCAACTCCATCTCAAACAAGCATGACACATTTCTGATCAGATGAAGTATTTATAAAGGTAGCTTGTGTTTTAAGCATGTAACACTTTGGGTGATGACAGAAGTTTCTCCTCTTTGGATGAAACCTGCCTAAGGCTGTAGAGATGACCAACACTCTGCAGGTATTAGTTCTGAATAACTACTGCGGGCTTTACATGATCTTCCCTCCAGCAGGAGACCACAGTTGAGTCTAAAGTCAGATCCACTGTGTCTGTGGGTAGGCAGGGTTGATTCAAACTTAATCCTCGTTTGTATTCATTTGGATTACTGCAAAAACAGCTAGGGACCAGAGTGAATGTCTGGTGAGGTGGAACTGCAGAGGTGAAAGGTGTCAAACATTTTCAATTTGGCAGTTACTTCAAGGTGTGTAAAAATTCACGTGCAGAAGGTCTGGCAGTGTCTTTTGTAAGTTTTCGTGTTGCCGTATTTCTGAAGGAGCTCTAGGGCCTGCTGTTGCATTTCCTGGGCCAGACACCCAGGAAAGTGGGACCTGATGAGAAGCAGGACGAGGCAGCACTCCAGTACATCTGGGAAGGGCCAGGCCTGAAAGATGATGACACGAGGATGAATAAGGAAGCATTTGCAAAAGAGCCACAAACACCTTCACAGAAGGCACCAGTGACTCAGGTTCATCTATAGACACTTCTTGGACACAGCTGATCCAGCTCTCTCCTAAGGCAATGTCCTGTCTTTCTCTTCAACGGTTACTCCAAGGAGAAATGACACTCAAAACTGGGATGGTCGCTGGGATGTCCTTCTCAATGGCACAATCTCTTTCTACAGCACTATGCAAATCAACCCTTAAAAATGGTGCTTCTATTACTATTTGGGCCCACAGCCAAAAAGACCTGTCCATCTGTAAGCTGTCTAATACATGGCACCAATCTAAATTTTACTTCTTACCTATTACATTTATTTAGTTTCTCTGAAGACTGACGTATAAAATTACTTGTGTGATCAATAATTCTATTCTCACAAAACATCCTAGCTAACCAAAGTAATTGGATTCTAAATTCTTAAGCTCATATGAATGGGTAGAGATTTTAGAAACTGAACAGAGAGGTAGCTGACCTATAAGAACGTGGTATAGTCAAGTGATAACACAAAAAGTGATGCTTTACCAAATGAACTGCTTTAACTCTTACCTTAATGCTCTCAGGAAATTTCGCCATTCTCTCATTTGCCTCTGTAAGCCTTTTGGTTAATTCAGGCAGAGAAAGTGGCTCATTTTTTTCTTCTTTACTAGTGAAAAAAATAAAAGGTGTAAGTTGTATGTCTTGCCCTGGGTAACATTTTTCTCCCATTGATTTTACTGTGGTAGAATGTATATAACATAAAGCTTACCATTTTAGCCATTTAAACATATATAGTTCAGCGGTTTTAAATACATTCATAATGTGAAAAACATCCCCACCACCCATTTCCAAAACTCTTGTCGTTTTGTAAAACTGAAATTTTATACCCATTAAACAGTAACTTCTCAATCTGCTTCTCTTAGCCCCTATCAATATCATTCTACTTTCTGTCTCTATGATTTTAACTATTTTGAGTACCTCATATAAGTGGAGTCATACAGTGTGTGTCTTTTCGTGACTGGCTTATTTCACTCAGCATAACGACCTTCCTTTGTAAGGCTGAATGACATTCCATCATATAGATATGGCACATTTTGCTTATCCATTCACCTGTCAGTGGATACTTAGGTTGCTCCCATGTTTTGGGTATTACGAATAATGCTGCTATGAACACAGGTGTGTGCACATATTTCAGACTCTGCTTTCAATTCTTTTGGGTATATACCCAGATGTGGAAGTGCTGGATCCTATGGTCATTCTATTTTACATTTCTGGAGGAACTGCTGCTATACTGTTTTCCACAGTGGCTGCATCATTTTACATTTCCACCCACAGGCACGAGGATTCCAATGTCTCCGCATCCTCCCCAACACTTGTTCTGTTTCTCTGGTAGTAGCCTAATGGCTATGAAGTGCTACTTCACTGTGGTTTTGATTTGCGATTCCCTAATGATCAGATATTGAGCATCATTTCCTGTGCTTACTGGCTTTTTAGAGAAATATCTATTCAAGCCCTTTGCCCATCCTTGAACAGGATTATCTTTTGCTATGCCTGGGTAACTTTTATCTTTTATCTTTTAAATGTTCTTAAAATTTAAACTTTTGCCCATGACACAGCCCCCAGGAGGTCCTGAGAGCATGTACCACTGCCTGGGTAACTTTTATCTCATTTTATAAATAAAATTCCTTTGTCACCTGGCTTCTTAAAATTTAATTTTTTTTTGTAGAGACAGGGTCAACCAGGCTGGTGTGAGTGGCACAATCGTATCTCACTACAGCCTCGAACTCCTGGGCTTAAGTGATCCTCCCACCTCAGCCTCCTGAGTAGCCAGGACTACAAGTGCATGCCACCACAACTGGCTAATTTTTAAAAATTAATTTTTCTAGAGACAGGGTCTCAATATGTTGCCCAGGCTGAACTTGAGTTCCTGGTCTCAAGTGATCCTCCTGCCTCAGCCTCCTAAGTACCTACAGGGTATATGCTACCACACCTGGTTATTTTATTTGTATTGTTTGAGATGAAGTCTCCCTCTGATGCCCAGGTTGGAGTGCATTGGTGTGATTTTGGCTCACTGCAACCTCTGCAGCCCAGGTTCAAGTGATTCTCTGGCCTCAGCTCCCCAAGTAGCTGGGATTACAGGCATGTGCCACCATACCTGGCTAATTTTTGTATTTTTAATAGAGATGGGGTTCATCATGTTGGCCAGGCTGGTCTCAAACTCCTGACCTCAAGTGATCCGCCCACCTCAGCCTCCCAAAGTGCTGGGATTACAAGCGTGATCCACTGTGCCTGGCCTTTTTTTTTTTTTTTTTGTAGAGACAGGGTCTCACTTTGTTGCCCAGGCTGGTGGTAAACTCCCGGGCCAAGTGATTCTCCTGCTTCAGCCTCCCAAAGTGCTGGGATTATAGGCACGAGCCACTGTTCCTAGTCAGCAGGGTTACTTTTCATTCCATCTTGCACTTGCCTCAGTACTTACCACTGGCTCTGAGAACTGGAGAGGGGCTGCTCTGCTTCTACTTCCAGTTCATTCTTATCAGGACCATTTGCTGTGGATTTACAGAGTTGACTCCTCTGGTGCTGGCGGATCATTTCTGCCAAGGTCTCTTGGACTTCAGCAACAGTTCTCTGTGAGTTTTGGAGACTGGCATGCTTTTCTGAAAAGAGCTCCTTAAAAGTACTCAGTATTCGCTCACCTTCTTCTGTGAGTCTCAAGTCTAGTTCCGAGGGTCTGTTTGGCTCTGGCTGAGAAGTTTCAGGGTCAGTTTCTTGAGTGCTGGCAGTGTCTAACTGCTGGCTTGGCTCAACAGAGAGTGTTCTGTGACCAGTCCCTACCCAGACACTGGAATTTGGGCAAGGCCTAGAGAGAGACCACCAGAATTCATACAGACGCCCATAAAGAAAAAAGGCCTCCAGACTTTTGAAAGCTGGCATGGCAGGGGATTGACGGTCACCCAATTTGTCTCTTAGGTAGTCACAGCCTAGGAAAAGAGAAAAAAGATACTGGGTCATGCATTTCTCTAGTTGCCAGAAATCTGGCTTCCTGCCCTTATGTTCTATTTCTTATCACCCAAGAAGCAGACCCCAGGAAAAAGGACAACAGTGTGATTCACAGGGCCACATGCCTTTCCACCAAAAGCCAACTGGAGGCTAAACATTTCCTATCTTGGGACAATGTTCTCATTACTACATCCTAGGAGTCATTCAAAGCATGATAGAGTCCATTTGTCCTACTGAAGGCTCTGGGGCCACAATGACTGAGGTAAGATCACACTGTCTCTCTGAAAAATCACAAAGTTCAGTGACTGTGCAGCCCAAGGAAGGTGAATCTTTTTGCTGTTCTTACTAACATGTAACTACATTCCTATTTCTCTCTCCCTTAAACTGTGTGGAAAGTGGACAGGAGGCAGTAAGAGGGTAGGGCCAGGTAAAGGAAACAGTATAGTTATTCTTGAAAGCTTGGGTAAGAGAATCCAAACTTTCTACTGAAATGACACAGCTGACCAATCTCCATCTTTTAAGAATTTAGGTGCCACACCACTAGTGGTGGTGAAGTTGTCCACTAAAGGGTGTGCCTCAGGCAGGGGGGAGTCATTTACCGTCAGGAAGAAAGGCTGAGTACACTTCCTGCATGATGGTGAAGCTCCCCGAGTCATAGCTCCGGACCACTGCCTGAAGGAGCGCCTGCACAGCCTCGTCCCAGGAGGCCATCTGCTGGCTCAGCACTGCCAGGGTCAAGTCATGGCAAATGTGAAGCAGGAGCTGGAGAGAGAAGCCAGAGTCTGAGGTAAACATCCTCCCACGGTAGGCACAGAGGATGCCACCAAACTGTTCCTGTGAACCGCATTTGGAAACAAGTACACACAATTCACACTTAAGAAAGTTCCTCTTGTCTCCGCCACCCATTTTTGCTTCCCCCATCAGAAACTCTCATGTCTAGCTGCACAGCAACACCTACGTCCCGGTGTTAAAGTCTGTTCACACTGAGAAAACACCTTTACGTTTGCATTTAATTGAAACAAAAAGTGAGTTTCTGGAACTAAAAGCTGTAATCAAAAACACAATAAAAGCTGGGCACAGTTGCTCACACCTGTAATCCCAGAACTTTGGGAGGCTGAGGCGAGTGGATCACCTGAGGTCAGGCGTTCAAAGACTAGCCTGGCTAACGTGGTGAAACCC